CTTGCAGCTGAGGAACTCACCGGATCAAGATAACAAGGAAGGGCTTCTGCCAGGAGCCGTTCAGTGCAGCTGCTCAGCTCTGAAGGTTTGAGAATCACACAGTTCCCTAGTAGGCAGGAGAGAATACTTTAACCCGGCTGCAACAGATGAACATCCACCACATGCCTGGATCTCTTGGGAGATCCAATCTCTACAATGAATTAGCAGATAACCTCTCACTCACCAGCTGCAATGGCCCCCACGAGGGGTATCAGAGTAACGTAGAGAGGGTAGTTAAAGTTTCCAATGATCACCACCACACCAAATGGCTCCTTGCGAATGAAGGCACAGTCCAGCTTCGTGAACTATAGAAAAACCAGAAACATTCACGAAAGCAACTGGGTGAAGCAGAAGGGGAAATTCATAGAAGATTTTGTAGGGGTGGAAATACCTGAGGAGCAACAAAGTATAACCCTCTTGATGTCTGCTTTCAGACCAATCTTTGCTGTAGCGCACATGAGTTAGCATTGTGTATCCTCTCTTTTCTTGATAAAGGCAGTGCAAGGCTTGAATAGGACTGAACTTTGAAAAGCTGATGCTGAGCGCTTCCATTTTCAGTCCTGTATTCTTGATTTGTTTAGTTAGTATGTTGTTTAATCTCAGCAAGATTCCTCCTTGCTATCTACATTGGGTATTTCTGACATAAAAAAGGATCCTCCGCACTAACTGATTATGAGTGTGTATTTCTGTTGCAGCTTGGAGAGTTGATACCTACACACAGAGAGAGTATATGCGCTTGCTCTCCAGGAAGCATGGTGGACTATCTCATTGGAGCGAGTGGGCCAAAATATTAGAAGTCCTAGGAATTGTGAAAGGTATATTGTTACACTTGGGGGAATGTGTTAAGGAATGGAATGGTTGCCTTAAGCCCTCATTAGCCTTACAGGTCTTTAAACCTCCAACCTCCCCCAAACCCATATTACAATTATGATTCAGCCACATGTGAGTTTAATACCTAAATTG